CAAATTTAAATGGTAATATTTGACAAAACTGGTAAAAACAGATGACCTAGTGGTCCGTCCAGCCCCTGTAAATTTTCCCTGTCCATGTGTGTAGGAAGTGGAAAGGACAAATTACCTTCATGATATGTTCTTTATTGTGAAAAGGTCAGATAAAAAAAGAAAAGCACATTAAACTAAACTCTGTACCTCATCTCACCATTTATATAAACACGACCAATTTTTTCCAATAGAAATGTGAAATTGTTTTTTAACAACATAAGGTTGAAAAAAACTAAAAAGTATTTACTTATTGCAAAATGACATCGTCATTTCCCAATGTAATTGTGAGATGTGATTCTTATCCACATCTTTTTAATGGTTTTTTATGTTTTGCAACCAACCGTACTCCGAAATTAATGTTCATATTGCTAAAAGGGTAAAAGATGGTCAATTCGTTAAATGAGATCATTCATTTTGATCATTTTTTGGTGATAAACTACTACTTATTTTCCATGACTCGACTAACTTACCCTAATAATAAAAGTGGAGAGACTATTAAAGGATGATTAAGGAAAAATTAATGTAAATCCATACCTACCTTGGAAGCAGACGTCATCCAGGTATGAACCATTGTTGCTCCAATGTAGATCCTTATTAGCACAAAAAAGAAGTTGCAAGTTAAAAAATGTTTATTTAGAAAGGTTAAATGCAACAACAAAAATGTACTTTCACTGTTTTGTTTATAATAACATCCAACTTTCTTTTCATCTTTGTACAACATTTTAGTGGGTAGATTTTTCAAAGTATAATGGCCTAGAAGAAAGAACAGAAGTACAAACGATATAATCAAGTTGATATTAAAAAAACAATGCCATAAAAGAAAAAAATAGGAACTACAATTATGTAAGAGAAAGAAATGAAATTGGCAATACATAGATAAATGAAAATACGTTTATGTTTCTTTCATTTAACCATTATAATATAACTATTTTCTTTAGTTAATTCCAAAAAAACAAACAAACAACAAGTAAATCTATAATGCTCACCCAACGATCTTCTTTCTTTTAAGCCATCACCTAAGAGTCCAACATGTTTTACATGATTAAGGGTTGCTTCCTGCCATACCAACAAAAGGGTAGTTTAGTAAAATTACACACATGCCAAAAAGATAGTCACTTTTTTCAGATAACACAGTTTCCATGAACATAATTCAACAACATTATATTGTTTTGTAACAACAGATTATATTATTCCCATTATTTAAAAATTTCAATATCATGTAGTTTAGTTACCCTTAGTTTCTCAGCAGTATGTTGATATTAAGCGACTTTTCCTCCTCGACCGGTAAATGCTTCTTTCAAAGTGTCAAAAAATGAAGGAGGAAACCGTTTCTTAACAATTTTGATCATCTTATCAAGTATTTTTCTCTCAGCCATTTGGCCATTAATGTTTTTGCTACAATTGTGTAGTCCGCAAAAACCCAATAAGGAATATGCATTCTGAAGACTGATTACCTCTGTTATGACTTATGACACGCATGGATCTCACACCCTACAATTAGTTAAAGCCACCAAAGATTAGAGAACCAAAAAGATTTGACTCTAAATTACTTTTTGTTTAACAACCGAATTCAATAGATTTATAACATCTCATGAAAGGATTATCATACCGATCAAAAGTGTTATGTAAGATCATCACTAAAACCTCAATTTCAGCATTGATTTCCCATTGTTCAAAGAATCCTTTTATACCAACTAATAAAATTAAACTAATTTTAAAAGTGATTTGTTTTTTCTTTGACTGAACTATATGCTTATAGTTGTATATGGTGAATATGTACCTCCAATCAAAACCCGCACCTGACCAATAAGTGGAAATGAAAATTTGAATTATTAATGAGATCTTAATTTTCCTTGGCTCTAGCCTCATCTAATGCCATTAATAAGCAATAATTGCTTGAATTTACGACAAAATCACAACCAATTGTGTAGTCTGCAAAAACCCCAATAAGGAATCTGCATTCTTAAACCATAAAAGCTCGAAAATATAACACATGGAATTTATAAGGTTGGTCCTCACAACTTCTTCTGTTATAATCAATCTCAAGAGCACCACAAACATCACTATTAATGTCACAAAGTCATTTGCATGATCAAAATATAAACCTTAACAAAATCCCTTGATGTATTTTTCAAAATGCACTCAAAATTCATTTTAAAAATATTAAAAATAATAATTTTTTTTTTTGCCTCAAATCCATTAATCACAAGCATGTAAATGCATACAATAAATACATGAGCTTCAACTTCGGTTTCAAGATGACAGGTGCTTTTGTAGACAGAGTAGCATTTCATATCTTTACAAGGTCACACACTTATGGTAGGTTAGGGGAGAGTGATATCAAATTAAGGTCATTCAATACATTAATCCCAAAACATAATTTTATTTTATTCTTTTATAGATTACCAATAAGAATTTGTTAAGAATATCCCTAATCTCCTTTAAAAATCCAAATCGTTTTCTTAAATACATGTTAAGATTCAAAACAACACGTATTAAGTTTGATTGACAACTCCAAACATTTTTTTTTTGGTTTTACCACTATCAACACCATCCAATCATAACCCATATGTAAAGAATGCATTTTGTATTAAATCCCTTACTCACAAAACTGTAAACGCCATACAAGAAATGGGTTTCAACATCATTTTCAAATCACAGGTGGTTTTGTACACCATAAAGCGGGCCATTTCTTCCAAATTAAAGATCTTAACTACAGTTAGAGGTGGGTTGCCCATCCGCTTAAGCAGGTTAAAATTTTTTATTTTCAGTAATTGCATCACACAAATTAAGAATATGACGATAAGAGCTTCTCTTTTTGCCAATGAAATGGGAAAGTCTACGAAGTATAAAGTCATAAAATTAACTCGTAGAGGGCAGAAGCTGATGAAAAAAACCCCAAAATAATCAAATATTACAAAAATAATAGGTGTACCGTGTATAGTATGCTCTCAGAAACTGACAATCAACAAATTCAAGGTCATTAAAAAGGTAAAGATTAGTGTTTCAGAAGAAAGTATCGAAGTCTTGGAGACGACAAACAACTTACATAAAAAAATATGAGTTTTAACGAAAAAAAATGTAGTTGATAGCGGGAGTATACCTTGACGTCGCCACTGAAAGTCTGACATGCAATCGACATTTTGTAACAATAAATCATTTGAACTTCACCACCATAACAAGTGGTATGACGAGCCCTAGCCAATTCAACTTTGACTGAACCCAGTAATACTTTGATGGGGTAGAAAGGAACTAAAATTGATGAAAAGAAACTTATCAGGAGGGATAACAGCCAACAAATCTTGGAAGCTAGCAAGACACGTTTAGCAATTTAGAACCCAATTGGGGAAGAAATTATGTGGGTAATTGATGTAGGGTTCTTGGCAGTCGATGGAGAAATTAGACCAGCACCCAATTGACGTTAGGTCGGTATTACCTGTTTTGGTGGTGATGAAGCATGCGCCTCTAACCAGATCCTGTGGAAATTCTCATGTAAAGATTATAACCTTGAAATGGAACCCTATTAGAGGAATAAAAATAGAGTTGGCGTGAAGAGGAAGTCAAGAGGGTGACTCAGCCACAATCCAGGAGAGGTGGCGGTAAAAGGGAATCCAAGAGTGGCAAGCAGCTCGGGAAAAGTCAAGGAAAACCCACCGCCAAGTCTTCTGCCTCATAGTGAGATCAGTCTGACCGGAAGCAAGCAGGAAGACAACTTTCATCAATAGCCAAACGACGCCGTTTCTTGAACCCCAATGTCGTCAAGCTGATGTAGGGCTGAAAGGAGTTTAAACAGGCAAGCATGCGGCTTACCTCCAGCTGACGGAGGCGTGGTCAAGCAGGCAAGCAACCAGCATACCGTGAAATGACGGAGGCATGAGCAATGGTCGGTGGAAGCTGCTTGTCGACGTAAACACCTTAATCTTACAGAAAAGGGTCTCACATATAGGTATATGATATATGTTTATATAATATTTACATATTAGTGCGTAATAATATGTATTTTGGTATAAATTAGTGTACGAATCGCTATATTGGAGACCATTGCGGTTGTAGGGTACAAGTGGTGATTAAAACAGGAACCGAATGTTTACAACTGATAACTAGGGAGAGGTGGCTCTCAACAAATGATTTCTAACAGAAATGTCAAGATATATCACAACCTAACACCGACCTTCTACTTATATATCTAACTAGTAAAAAGACATAAAAGCCTTTTCGTCATCTCTCTTTTAGGCTTAGCATAGTTAAAATGTGTACAAAATAAAATAATTGCTGACTAAATATATATAAAAAAACTAAGATTAGTGACTAAATATACATCAAAATTTACAATAAACAGTCATAACGATATTTTGTTCAATTACAAGACATGTAAAAAAAAACTATAGTGACTTAATGTATACAACAAACTCATTAACCCTATTTTTTTTTATTACACCTTAAATTTTGAAAAGAAACGCAATCTTTCAACATTTGAAACTTCAAAGATTGGTCAATCCCGCAAATATTGTTCATCTACATTAACTTTCATCATTCATCTTGAAAGAAACCCAAAAGAATATTGTCATCACAAAGAGCATCAAGACAAAACATATAAGATCTCTAACATATAAAGGCAAAAACCAAACAGAAAATCAATTTCTAGGAAAGATAAACTCAAAATCAAACACATCAATGTGAGATCAGACGCCATTTCTTCCGTTACACAAACATCAACATGATTATATTGATACAAATACAACCATGTAAACATGCAAAATTGAGAAATTCCCAAACGACAACACAACTAGTTTTGCTTTATTCTGAATCAGCTTACTCAAAAGCATCATATACCTACCAAAACGTATCCTTACAGTTGTTGAGAAAAGATGGGACACAATTGAAGGTTAGAAAAGGGAGCTTCCAATCTAACTAATGAAATTACTCCAAATTCAAATTCAAATTCAAATTCATGTGAATTTTCATTTGTATATAAGAGCATCACGTCCAGGTCCAACACCAATGTAATGAATCGGAACACCAACAAGTTCTTCTATTCTTTCCACATACTCACGTGCAGCCTTTGGAAGATCCGCATAGCTCCTTACAGACGAAATATCAGCCTGCCACCCTGGCATACTTTCATATTCCACCTAAAACACAAAATAAAAAAAAAATCTTAGAATTTGATTCCAAAACCCTGCAGTTTAGAAGAATGAAAGAAAAAGTGTAACTTGCCTTTGACTCCTCAAGATCAGTTAAATCAGCAGGAAACGAATTCATAGGTGTCCCATTTGTATGCTTATAAGAAACACCAAGCTTAATCTCAGAAAGATCCGATAACACATCAAGTTTGGTCAAATTCAGAGAAGAAAACCCATTAATTTGACAACCATATTTCAGAGCAACTACATCAAGCCAACCACACCGGCGAGGGCGGCCGGTGGTGGTGCCAAACTCCTGCCCAGCTTGCCGGAGAAGATCACCATCCTCACCCAGCAGCTCTGTAGGAAAAGGTCCAGACCCAACTCTAGTAGTGTATGCTTTTACCTACATCATGAATCATGATTGTTAGTTAGATATGATATGATATGACATGAGATAAAAGTCTCTGATACCATGTTTAGATAGATATGTCATAAGTAAACAAGTCTTAGACTTACCACACCAATCACATCACCAAGGACTCTAGGAGCAATCCCAAGTCCTGTACAGATTCCACCAGCTGAAGGACTTGAAGATGTGACAAAAGGGTAAGTCCCAAAATCAATATCCAACATAGTTGCTTGACCACCTTCTACAAGAATCTTCTTCTTTTGTGAAATGGATTCATTCATGTAATGAACTGTATCACAAACAAACGGTTCCAACCTCTCCGCAAATCTTTTATACACTTCAACTTCTCTTTTTTGAGTACTTCCGGGCTGTATTCAAAACCCTGGAATCTTGAAGCTGCATCTGATAACAAAAGATCAAGCTTATCAGGAAAGGTGTCCATATGCTTCAGATCGCATACTCTTATGCCATTACGGATGACCTTGCTGGAGTAGCATGGCCCGATTCCTCTCTTGGTAGTGCCAATGAAGGATTTAGCTAGCTCAGCTTCTCGAAGTCCATCTATTTCTTGATGATAATCGAATAATAAGTGAGCTCGATCTGAAATTAAGATCCTTCCCTTACATGAAACCCCATTGGATTCAAGGTTGTCAATTTCTTGGAAAAGTCCAGGAAGATGGACTACAACTCCATTTCCTATTACACACATCGTCTCCTCGTTGAGAATCCCTGAGGGAACAAGATGAAGCGCGAATTTCTTTCCTTCCGAGTTGTAGATAGTGTGTCCGGCGTTTGCTCCACCCTGAGAGATTCAATGACATTGAATAATGTAAAAGTCGAGACAGAGTTCTTATGATCAGAAGATGGAAATCTCTCTTCCGATAGAAATGTCACAGAGAATGTTAGCCCTGGCGATTTGAATTTAAAATCGACGGCGTATACTTTACATGCATAATCAGAATATGAATTTATGCATCTTAAACCAATACATTTTGCAAGCATTTGAAGAGAGGAAAGTACCTGACAACGAGCAACGACGTCGAAGTGCTTTGCCAAGATGTCAACGAGCTTGCCCTTGCCTTCATCACCCCACTGGCAACCCAACACTCCCGATACCTGACCTAATGACCCGATTCGACTCGGTATTTCACCCTTCCTTTCTTCCAGGGTTACGATCGGAGAAGCTGAACATGAAATTGAAGCATTTCTCCGGTGGTATGAGTGGTGGTGAAGAGAGACGTGAGAAAGTCCGGTCGTTGTGTAGCTCCGAACGTTTCCGTTCAGAGACCTGAACGCGGTTGCGCTAGGGTTTGTCTCTAGCTTCACGGAGCTGATGTTCATGGCTGTGAAAGTGAAAGGACTGAGAAAGATGCGCGAGGGTTTCGGCAGTCAGGGGTGGCGGAAGACGGAAGTTTTGAAGAAAATTATAGGGTTAATTGCTTCAAGCCCTTCAATTGAGTAGATTTTTACAAAATAGTCCCTCTGTTTATGTGGTTAAAGCAGGATACCCCTTCAAGAAAAACACTTTAATAAAAAGTGAATTACATTTTTTAACCTTTATACTTAATAATTTAATTGCTCTTTTTGGATAAATATGCAAGAATTACAAAATCTAATGACACTATTCTATTTTCACAAATATTTTTGTTTAACATTTTTCATCTAATATAAGAAGATTGCGTGTTTAATTGCTTATCTACAAAAATATGAATTGGACCATAAGGCACATGAGTTCATGAACGTGAACTCGTGAAGGATATTTGGATGCAAACTAATAGTCAAAAGCAAGCTTAAATCGATTAATTATTTAAGAAAAAAAACAACCTTACATAGATTACTATATCAATTTAAAATAAAGTTAAAAAAAAAAAAAAATCTACACATGTAAGAAGGTTACTTACACGTTGGTTGAATGCGTTATATTTTACATATAAGTTTAAACCAAATAAAGAAAATACATTTGAATCCTTATTGGCATATTACACCAAATAATATATTAAAAAACAACCAGTTTCCTAAAATAATAATTTTGGTTACTTAGTCCTTAAATTTTAAAAGAGAAAGATAAAATTCTAGCTAATCATTATAGCTTTTTCCAAAATGAAGTAAAAAAAAATGAGAGGTTTTTCAAAATAACCATTAATTTCGCTAAACCCTGGACCTGAATTTACGTTTGGACCTTTGAAATGCATATTACAGCGTCATTTTGAAAAGAAAAAAAAAAGGTTAAATGCATTTGACTAACAAAAATGTCAAAAAGAAAAGGAAAAATGTTATACATTTTGGTTTAAAAGGTCTCTTATGTTATTTTTTGGTTTTATAAGAGCATGAATTCACATTTTACCAACAAAAATGTCAGCGTCATTTTGAAAAGAAAAAAAAAAGGTTAAATGCATTTACCAACAAAAATGTCAAAAAGAAAAGGAAAAATGTTATACATTTTGGTTTAAAAGGTCTCTTATGTTATTTTTTGGTTTTATAAGAGCATGAATTCACATTTTACCGGCTAATTAGAGATTTTAACCCAACTCAATCGTTTCCTTGCCTAGTCATCACCCAACTCAGTTAGAGAGTCAACTCACCCAACTCGGATGACACATCACCGACTCACGAATGAGTTGGCTTGCTTGGGCCCTAAGGGTTTAGTGGTCCCCTGGTATATAATAGAAGGATCTGCTGGACAAAACCCTAAAATATAGTTACTATTTTCGGCCAAACACTAGCCGACAACCATTCGACAATACTCCCTTTTCCCTTCACTGTCTTCACATGGATCCTACCCCACCACCATCACCAGATACTATAAACTCCAAATACTCTATAAGCTCAACAGACGGGCTTAACTTGAACGATTTGCACACGATCTTTTGTGACTGTGGTGAAAAGATAGTTGAGCAACAAGGTCAGGTCGAGCGTATGAAGGAGGAGATGGGTCGAGATTACCTTCATTCCATAGTGGATGTCCTCAACATGCAGCAAATGTTTGACCATGTTGAGAAGCAGATTAAAGCGATTGCTCTGTTGGTTGTGGGTGTTGTCATCGTCATGTTTCTGGTCATGATTTTCATCATTCACTTGATAATCAGCAAGTGAATCTCATGGACATGGGTTGTGGTGGTATGCTAATCTAGTACTTGTAGTCTATTGTTAGGTTTAATGGTGTTTCTTGTTATATACGTTATTAGGATTATGTGTGTTTAGTTTGTGTTAATGGTAATCCAGTTTGTGTAGGTAGTGGTACTCCAGTGGTGGTTGTAATGGTAATGTTTAGATGCATTTTGAAGTCCTAATTACCTGTAACAGGCATTTTGGTATGATATTGGTATAAATGTAAATTGGAATACATGCCTGATAAAATCAGGCATGAATGGCTTATAATTTCTTGCGTTCATTGGTGTTGTTTTAGGGTAACTTTTGGTGGATCCATGAACACGATAAGCAGTAGAAAAGATTATGAATTTGTTGTTGTTTGGTAAATATGAATACTTAGATGTACTTTGTTTGCCTTAGTTAATGGTAATTAAGTGTGTTTGGTGCACCAACTACGACAAATGTGCGTGAGGTTAAATAAAGGGGTATTTTCGTCATTTCCTCTTTATAAGTACTTTACTTCCTTACTCGACAGTAAATTGGACATACATCCCTCTCCTTTCCATGTTATTATTTGGTTTTGGAATTAAGGAGCCCTTGGAATTAATGAAGCGAAAATGGTGAAATGCTTGTGTGGATGTGTCGCCATAATAAGAATGTCTTCCACTCTGTCCAACCTTGGAAGACCCTTCTATGCTTGCCCCACTAAGGTGTGTGTTAGTTTCTTTATATGTCCACTATAGCCCTAATTTATTAGTTTCTTCCATTCTCAGTCTCTCACTCGAAATTTCTTTTTGTTAGTGACCTCGTACTGGTTTTATTTGTTGGGTAGAAGAAGCAAACACTAAGAATATGAGTGTTGAAGCTGTTATGATTGCAGGTTTGGCTAGGTCAAAAAAGAAGCTTGAATCAACGATTTGGAAGTTGAAGATGTGTTTAGTTGTTAGTTGGATTGTTTTTCTTTGGCATAATTGTTTACAAGTTGTAATGGTTTGCTGATGTTAATTTCCTTGTAGTTGAAAGTACTCTATTGTCCATGTATCTTTATTTCATTTTAATCAAAAAAATAAATGGGTATGTTAGATTGGTACTTTATTCGTTGATAGTGACATTGGAAATAGCTTCAACTTGGACAAATAGGACCATATGTAGTTAAACTAATGTCTAAAATGGACCCCAATATCATACACGTCCATAACTAACACACAATCATAACCACATTCAAACCATTAACATTACAAACGGTTGTATATAACACCAAACATCCAAACTTAATTCGAAACATCACAAGTACATAACACCAAACATCCAAACTTAATTCAAAACATCACAATTTGATCCTAAATAACAAGTACATAATGACAGATATTCAAATTTAATTCCTATTCAAGTTCCATTGGCTTGTCACTAGTGTTGCTTTCCCCATTCTTACACTCAACCCTTGTAGCAAGTTTTTTCTTGATAATTCTTTCAGACTTCTTTCTTTTCTTGATAATTACCTTCTTACCCCTAGCTCCTTGCTCATCTTTACCATCCATTGCCTTCTTACCACTGCTTTCTTCCCCATCACTACCATTTGTGCCCTTGATAGCACTGCTTCCCTCCCCATACTTATCATCGGTTCCCTTCTTACCACTAGTTCTTTCCCCATATTTACCACCTTTTACCTTCTTACCACTGGTTCCTTCCCCATCTATACTACCTTTTCCCCTCTTACCACTGCTTCCCTCATAATAATTACCATCTGTTCTCTTCCTTTTCTTTACCTTGAGTTTTGTTGGTTTTTCAGCTTGAGAACATGTAACCTTGTTATGTCCTACTTGCTTGCATACACTACACATAATTTTTTTTCCCAACCTTTGACACAATGTGTCTTGCACCCTTTTCACTTGCATCCTTTCTTCTATTAACTTTAGGTATACCTGGCATTTTTCTTTTCATTGGTGGCGAATGTGTAATGAATTTAGTAGATGGCCACATATTGCTACCATTCATCCCACGCATTGAATACTTGTAGGTGTTCTTGTAAATTGCTCCATAGTATATTCGATCCACATACCAACATCACTATTTATGTATGAGATAGTTGCAACTGAATTCACACATCAATACCCATTTAGTTTCCACACTCTACATGAACAAGTCTTTTTATCTATATTCACAACATAAGACTCTGCCAAATTTCTTGTTGTTTCAAACTGGTTTAAACCAGTTGGTAAAACCTGTCAGTACCTGTTTAAATTGTATTGAAGTTAGTATATAGTGTAAGTAATCAATTAAAATTCAAAATTAAAGTTAATACCTTTGAGCTCTTTTTAACTGATTCAGTAGGATTATAATAGTTGGACATGGTTTATAATCAGGCCATGAACAACCTTTGATGGTCAGATTGAATTGTCCCTCACTACAAATAAAATGACATTTAGTGGCATATAAAAAGTGCCACTAAAAAACCAAAAAAATGTCACTAAAGCCCCCCTAGGCAATCAGCTGCACAAAAAAATGCCACTAAAGGCCTTTAGTGGCACTTTTTGGTTGTCACTGCAGCCTTATTGGGTTTTAGTGACAATTTTCTGTTATGCCACTATATCCCTTGTAGGTTTTAGTGGCACTATTTTTATGCCACTATTTTCAATCTAAAATAAATATTATTTTCATTGTTTTAGTGGTACTTTTTTTAACATAAAATAATATGTTATTAAATTATATCGGTATTTTTCTAATATAAAACAATAATGATACAATCAAGATAATAAATAGAAAACACAATATCATTAATTTAATTTAAACGTATATAACAACAATATTATCAATATTTAAAACAAAATTGTTTTCAAGAAAAAGTTTTAAAAGTCTAAATGTTGTACTAGAAGAACTTAAAACATAAAACTAGCAAACTAAATTTGCACTTAGACGATCACACACTAGAAGCTAACAAATCAGTCTAGGTCCTTTTCTGAACATCCGCCAATCAGTAAGAGGAAAACCAGAGGGGACCATCTAGAGGTTGCCCCAAGCTCATTCTAGCTTCGTTCTATCTTGCAAGCTACCTTGAAGTAAATTTTCCAAATTTGTCTCTATTTCAGTATGCATTTTTTATGATGCAAAAACTCTAAAATTTTGTTACTAAATCCTAACACTACTCCAACGAGATAACTAAGAAGTAGTTAATGGTAAAGTAGATAGTTGATTATAATTTACAAATACCAAATAAACTACTTTAAGAAAAACATGTGCCTACCATCTTACTT